TTCACACTTCAACTCATGCAATTTACATGTATTGCCATCACTGTGTGAACGTGTGTGAAAAGGGTGAATGTGGCATGTAGTGTAAAAGCACTTTGAGTGGTCAGAAGACTTTTTTGCTGTGTTTGGGACCACCACACGCAGAGCAAAGAGAGACCACAGCAGACAGGATGACGGGTGTGCAGCAGGGACTCTCCAGACAGAAGTTTATGGTTTTGGAGAAATGATCAAAGCCGAATACTTTGACTATCATAAAGTAATATGACTTTTCTGTAAAATAATTCTTGATTATGTAATGACCTTTTTTTCAAAATATTACTAATATTACGTACGCCGGTGCAGGAGTGGGCCTTGCTCGTGCTGAATGGATCATTTGTGATGCAGAGGCCAAAGGTCCCAACGCCTGCGCAGGAAGATGTAGCCAGTGCTTCAGCCACTGCTGGTCCGGTGAAAGCTAAAGTCGGTCTGGCAGTAGACACCGGAATCAGCATCAGTCTGGCACATGTGGAGGCAAAGTTTCTGGGAACAGGCATGGTCGTAAAATGGGCTTTTCTCTGTTTGCCTCTGGATCTGAGTTTGAATTACGGTAAACTGTGGCTTTGTGCCAAATGCTGTTTGTGATTGTTTCCTGCGCCTTCTATTCCAAAAATGAAGCATTTAAAATTTTCACAAGTAAGATTGAAAGTCAGACAAAGCTGGTCTTCACTGCAGATAAAACATTTGAACTTGATAATTTCTCAGTGTCTACTGTCTTCAGATAACAGAGTGAACACAGCAGGTCATTCATTCATTTTCTCTGAAATAAGCACAAATAAGCTTATTGTACTTCAAAAGCCAGCACTGCCTCGATTGTTCCCTTTCCTGTTTCTGGACCACAGTGGTGTGTGCTGGAAAGGACTCCTTACTGGAGAAACCTGAAGCCACTGACTCTCTCCACTACAGTTCCATTGATGGTGATGGGGGTGTGTCCTTCCCTGTCACTTGCTGTAGTCCACAATCAGCTCCTTTGTTTCATTGATGTTGAGATGGAAGTTGTTGTTTTGGGATCAGTGTCAGGGGTTGACCCCCTCTCTGTAAGTACAGGAGGTGAGGTGTTGAGAGTCTAGGTGGGGATGGCGCAACGTACTGAATGCTGAACTATAGTCAGTAAATAGCATTCTCTCATATGTGTCCCCTTCACAGTGTCTGCTTTGTTGAGTCGCTGTAGGTGGGGCCTTTTTTCTCTCTGTAGCTAATTTACATCCAATAAATCCTATAAAATGAAGATAATATTTTAATAAGCTGCCTTATGCGTCTGGTCTGCGGACAGCATCCATTACTGTGTCAAATATGAGCAGTGACTGTATTATTTGTTTCTTTCAGGTTCTGACTGTATCCAGCTCTGTGCCTCCTAAAGTTTTTGCAGCTCTGTCTGCTGCAGAGGAGGCACGATGTTCCCTGGAGGACCTGCTGCAGAGAGAGCGATTGATCTCCAACATGCTGCACCAGGTAAAAAAGAACAAACAGGGCAGCAGTGTGTGGTTACTCACTGACAATTAGTGATATTAGGGATATCACATGTGACTTGGGCTGGATGTCACTGTAAATACTGGGTTCAAAATAATCCCAATCTGATTTTGAGTCCCATGAATTTTAATGTTCATTACTGACCCTGGAAATAGTACTCCCTTAGGATGATGACAATGACATCTTGAAGAACCACGTTGCTGATTTTCGACGCGGCAAAAATCAGCCTTTGTGTTAACATTTTAACTATTTTTGGGGGGCTAAACATGCCTGAAACTTCATGAAACTTTGCACAAAATTCAGTCGCTGCGAAGGCTAACATATTGTCTTTGTCATTGCATATGAGTGTCGCAGAATGGCTTAGCCACACCCTCCAGAATCAGCCCCCCAAGACATGTACAACTGACAAATTGGTACGCATGTCTATCATGATCGGACAAGCAAAAAACCTCTTGGACCCATTTTTTTTTTGAATGGTTTAAAGTTTAGTCAGGACACTGTTTTGAAAGCATTTACATTTTTTTAATGGTGACACATAATGACACCTGTTGTCCTTCCGGGGTCAAAATTAACCCCTTCTGGTTTGACTGTTTATGAAGCATGAAATATAAATGAACACCCAATTCTGTGTTTAACCTTTTTAGTCAGCCTTATTCCAACTCATTACGACAAGTTTCACCCTTTCATGGTCGAAATACTGTAAACTAAATTATGAATTATTATGGATTATCACAGACTGGTATATGTCAAATATTAGCCAGGACATCCCCAGCTCAGAATAGACTTATGCAATTTAGAAGCAAAAAACCATTTTGATATTGAAGAGTGAGAAGTTTCAATTTTACGAAAATAATTTTGGAAATCATTTTAATTACAAATTCAAAAACCTCAAATAACAATCCTATTTTGTTTGCATGCGTGTTTGTGTGTATGTGTGGTGTGTATTTGTGGTGTTTGTGTGTGTATGTTATATGTTATATGCATGTATGTGTGTGTGTTTGCACAGTTTAACCCAATGGCCTTTCTGGGGTCAATCGTGGTGGGGAAGAACACAAGTGTTCTAAAATTCAATCAAACACCCAAAATTCAGTGAAAGTGGTCAACATTTTATGTGGAGCTACCATACCATGGAACCATCCATGTTATTTTGGTGAAATTAGATAAAAAAATATTTATGACATAAAGAACATTGAAGATATTATGAGGCTTTTTTGGGGCTTTTATTGCCTT